GGGGGGGGGGGGGGCTCTATGGCGGGCTGCTCGTCCACTGAAGGCTGCTGAGGGGCCAAAGCAAGACCCTGACGACCAAAGGGGACAAGAAGTCGATGAAGCACCACCCTCACTGTGTTCTGTCCGACCTGCTGGTATCGTTTCTTGACCGCTTTGATCCACGTGTCGCTCGCCGAAAAGCCACTGATGCCCAGCCGTACGAAGCCTGCATCGCCTTCTCCCTGATGGCCATAGGGGGGACGCTTGTGGGGTCATCATGGCCAGCCATCAACTGGCGGATCTCATCCTCAATCTGCGGATATTGCGGCGGTCTGTTGCGCCTCTTGATGGGATCCAGCACCTGCGTGCCCGCCTCCCTCTGTTTCTTGACGGCATAGTGCCACTCCTTGAACCGATGCGGATCCTTGCCCTTCTCCTTCGCAAACTGAGCCATCGAGATGGCCTCGCCGCTCTGCTTCCGTCGATTGAATTCGTCCGCCAGCTGCAGCCGCTCGCCGATGGTCACCTCGCGTGCCCCATGAGTGGCCACCTGAAGGGACTCAAACAAGACCATGGTGGTGCAACAGACAGAAGAGTGCCCCTCGCCCTCTCGCCTCAGCGACCTTTTGTTGCCCGACAGCCCCTTGTGCGCCAGCCAGGGGATGGGGAGGCGCTGCTGCTGCTGCCGGGCCATCGGCGACCGGTACACCCCTGCTGACAGCTGGTGACAAATCACTAGCTAGCGGTGGGCGCCCTGCAGTGCCATCTGACGACCGCACACAATCGACAGTTGTGGATGCGCGTCTGTATTCTGGCAACTCACTTGCAGACCCACCAGGTGCTCCCTGCTCGTGCGGCGCCAGTCGGTCACCATGCACATCTGGAGAACAACCAGGGCCTACCTCTGACTCAGCCGTTTCACTTGCCCACGTGTATGTAGGTTGCCGCTTACTCCGGGACCAGAGTTCTTGCGGTCCAGCACCCGCACTCGCAGCCGCACCGCCTGGCGTCTGATTGAACGATGGATGGGGCCGTCCTGTCGGCTGCGCACACACGGGGGCGGACAGGTGTCAGGCAGACACGGCGGGGGACTGCTGTGTGCATGTACCTGGTGACGTGGCTCATGGTGGAGAGTTGCATAACGAACCCCATCACCATGACCAGCCTGAGAAAACAAGAACCCATGGCAAGGCAGGGGCTCTATTGTTGCACAGTACCTGTGTTTGGGTACCCAGCGCCCTCACCGTGTCACCCTGAACCATCACGCCACAAACAGAAGGATCAGCCATAGGGGCGATGTGTGGCGACACGCAGCACCACCTGTGAGCGACTTTTGCCCACCTCGCTCATCAGGTCCCCTCTTTCGTCGAAATAATCAGCCCCGACTCATGTGCCTGCATTCCTTCGTAATTTCATTCTTGAATCTGGTCAGGATTGGCTTCATCGTCTTATCCACCCTCTGTCCACTTTCCCGTGTTATTTTTCTCTCCCCTCTGCTGAGCGCCGTGTGTTGTTTTCATTCCGCACCGGCACCTATACTTGTGCTGTCACAGATGGTCGGCTGACTCACCGGCCTCGTCTACTACGCTTCTGCCCATTCTGCGCTGCTACTTGCCCTCCCGCCAGCTGGCCCATGCCGTGCCGTGTGCCACCTGTTGAGGATGAGTTGCATGTGCTTTTCTATTGCCCGCTCTATAGCTCTCCACGTAGGGAGGTCTTTCGTGTTGTTCGCATGTATGGTTTGACTGCACCGGATGGTGTGGTGTATTTTTGGTGGGATCTTGCTCATTGTGATGCCCTGGTGTTCGCATGGTCCTTGCTTACTTCGCGCTCTCTCCCTATGCAACGTGCGTTGGCTCAGTTTCTTTTGATGGCTGTGGCTTCTGGCAAGCGATGGCTTTCTTTGCGCTCATCAGCTTAGTTTCCTCGATATGACAAACGCTTTTATGGACACAGCATCTGCCCTCAGGGGCCGGGACCTCGGTGTCCGTTAACAAACGAACGAACGAACGAACGCAGGCGCAGATCGAAGCTCGCAAGCGTGGCGTCGATCTTCGCGGGGCAGTCCCAAAGTGTCTTCTTAGTTATTTTTCGGCATCCTCAGCCTCGTTTCTTTTTGGCTGACGATGCCATCGGCCTCTCCTCCCTCAGAGGGTCACGTTGGTCTTTGTCCGGTCTTCGGCCGTGCCTATCTGGCGGTGGTCAGCTTTCTGACCTCTCCCCATCGTGCTGCCCGTCTTGGCAGTCATCTCACTATTTAGCCTTATCACCTCATCCAGTGGCGTCCTTCCCCTCTCTCGGCACGCCCTCCCCTTTCCCCTTGTGCCGCTTCTTGATCTTCGTATGAAGATTCGCACGCTGACGCCTTCTCTCAACTGACCAACATGACGAGATTTGCTCCTGCATCTGCTGGATGGAGTCGCCATCAGCGCCATCAGCTTTCCTGCCTTTGGGACACGCGCTCTCCCCTCGGTCCCCCTTCGTCAGAGTGTGCTGAACCGGTGCAACCGCCCTGGTGATGCTGCAATGGTGTTTCCGTGGGGATTTGAGGGCGTATGCTTTGGTGCATGCTTCAGTTTTTGCACTGGCACCGTGCTTCATGCTATATCTTCTATATGTGGGCTGAGGCAGATACTCATGATTTGCCATTCGGGTGGTGTCTTGTGTGAGGCGGTCTATCACGTGTAGTCGCTGCGCCACCATGTCTTTTCTTTTGTGTGTGCATGCCACGCGTGTGGTTATACTTTGGCGTGCCTCTGCGCATTGAGATCAGGCTGGTGTCAGTTCATGTCAATGCCTCATGCCTGTATATCGTATATGGGACCCTTCTGGCCTTCATCTGTCTGTCTACCTTGCTCCCCCAGACTTCTACCTGCCTTTCGTATGTCGATTTTAGTGGTGGGGTGAAGCAACTGGTCATGGGTGTCATTCCTGTGGTCTCTCTGCCTGGTATCCATCCCATGTGGCGTATTGCCCGCGCCAAAGGGCGCCGTTTTCTTTATAGACCGTCGCCTTGCCAGTGAGACCACAAGTGTGTCATTGCATGCCAGGGCCTCATGTCTATCTGGCCGTCCATCGATGAGGCGGGGCTGTCTCTGTCTGCCATCTATCTTCCTACTTAAGTCCAGTCAGGCCTCCCTCTACGTGTGACTGTCAGCTGCCTATTGACCCGGGCATACATAGAAAGGAGAGCCAGCTCGTGTGGCCCGTTCAATGAGTGTCGCTAACACAAGGCACTGACCGATGGTTGAGTGATCCGTAGGAAGGTAGGAGGGTAGGAATGCACCTTAGGCATCGTCTGTCTGCATGTTGTAGGGCGTAATGGCCTGTTTGGCTTTCCTTCTTTCTGTCCCTCTGCTGTCTTCCTGCCCTCCTTGCATATGGGTCCCGTGTGTACATGGGGGTGTGTTCATCTGATTGGTTGTTTGTTGCGTTTGATGGCTCAGTGGGCTTCATTCTTTTGCTTGCTTCCTCTGGCTTCTGTACACTTGCCAGGGCTTCTTGCTGTCGGGCGATATCGCCCATTCTTGTGTATGTAGCCAGGGGAAGTGTTCGTCAACGTTCTACAAGGCGGTTAGTGCCCTCTGTTGTCATCTGAGTGTCGGCCGGTGCCAGTGCCTTTGGTGGTGGACCATAGGGGTGGGTGGATAGACAGGCCTTGTGCATACTTCGTGTGTGTGCATGCTGCCTGTTGGGTGTGTGCTGTGGACAGAGAAGATGTCCGGTAGCGCCGAAAGGCAGGCGCCGGGCTTAGGGACAGGCGTCTCGTCAAACTCTTAACCGACCGACCGACCGACCGATGTTGGTGGACGCCCAGATGTTGTGTCATGTGCAGGTCTCTTCTCTCAGCGCAAGCCGAGCTCTTGGCAGGTGTTGTGCTCTGGAAGTCTGCTTTGGTGTTCCACCACTCTTCTTCTGCTCCTGCTGTGGGTGTGCTGTCGTCCTCGAGCCGAAATAAGATGACGCAAAGGCAAGCAAAAGAAGCTTCCCCTCCCAGTTGAAACTGTGAGTTGCAATGGATCGCGTGGTCTAGTAAGGAAATGGCCCGAATGGTGTATTCAGGGATAGCCTTGTTTGGTAACGAGATGGTGGTCCGCCTGTTTGCTTCTTATTCATCCCGGTGTGTGGTGTCTGGCGCTTCTCATTCTGCTGCCCCTCCTTGTCATCATGCGGTTCTTCACTCGATTGTTCCCGCGCGGCAGTGCATTTCCTTGCCACGTTTGCGTCCTTGCGCCAGTGGTGCCACTGCTTGCCAGGCACTACAGCGACCATCACAACCCCAGTCCGGCAGCATACGGGCCCAAGGCACCGGCTATCCAGCAGGAGCACGGCAATCACGGCGCTCAGGGACGTGTCACGCAAGGTCAGGTGAGTCTCGTTGACCAGGCGGGCCGTGTGTTCGACGCGTACCTGCACGAGAAGGGAGAGACCTCGCTCAGCCTCATAGTGGTCGCGGCCGGATACTGCATCCTCATGCCCTGGCTGATGGCGGCGGCAGAGAGCATCGAGGGGTGTGAGGTGACTGTGGACGCCCACACCATCGGCTTTTACAGGGTGGACATTCCGGGCCGGGAGAAGCACAACCACAAAAATCGCATCCATGTGGCCATCACAGGCCAGTGCAGTCTGCACGGGTAGGCAGGATGAGCTTTTGAAGGGGGTGCATGTCATATGTGTGTCTGAAGTGTGTGAGTGTGTCTCACTCGGGTCATGCACGCCAGTTGAAGGATGAGGTTGTACGAGCATCGCGAGAGCTCGGCCTCGGTCAACATGGGCGGCGGCTACACCAAAACCGCTTCTACACGGCCAAGCTGCAAGGAGCCAACATGAGTGGGAATTCTTCCTGCCTGTGCCAGCCCACGCCGCCAAGCCCTTCCTTCGCTGCTTCAGACGCAGCTTCATCAACGACGGGAGTGGTCAGGTGAGCCATGAGAACGTGGACCTGGGCATGGCCGAGTTGAGTGTTGTGATAGAGTTCGAATACGGCCGCGGCTGGTATGACTTCTACTACATGGACAAGCATAAGCTGCACCGCCTCGATAACTACGGTGAGCGCAGTGACCGACAGTGCTGGTAAGAGGTCTGATTGTGTGTGCTGTGTTACGTCGTGTGAGGGGATGGTTGCAGATGCATTCAACACTGTGTCCAACCTCACGCGAGGCTTCTCTGACGAAGGCCGGAGCACCGTGCAATTCCCCATCGACGACAGGGCACCCAACCTGGTCAGTCAGTCAGGAACAGACACGCATTGGATGGATGGTAGATGGATGTGTGTATGTGTGTGTGGTCATACAGGACGGCCACCATGTGCCGACTGCCGGGCAGGGCAAGGAGCGGCTGCGCCAAGTCTCGCTCAAGACCGCCCAGATATTCCAGAGCTTTGGCGGCGATTTCAACGCGATGACGAAGATGCCCATCGATGAGGCCTGCAAGTACATCATCACGGTGGTCGAGAGCTAGCTCAACAAGTGAGCAGCACCAACCACCGACACAGACAGACACACCCACACGAATGCATCCAGATGTCGCTTGATTTGGTGTTTTGTGTGAGAGCGTGTGTGTGTGCACTTACTTGATGATCCGGCCGTATTGGTTGAAGTGCGGCTGCAGGTCAGTCTCGGTCCACTCATTCGGCACCTGCACATACCGACACCAATGCCACACACACGTATACGTACGTACAAATGTCTCTCTGCCAAGGCAACGAGGGGACGAACGGCCCTCGGTCGTACATGGAATATGAAGATATTGGCCCACACACACACACACACACACACACACACAGAGGCACACACAGAGACCATACGCCCGTGCTCCATTCTCGCCGTGCTTCTGATGTGCTTCTTGAATCAGTCGCTTGGCCTTGTCTGCTGTCTGCAGGGCGAGGAAGCCGAACAGCCATCGGAGGTTCTTGCCGTTGGGATGGTCCTGCTCCACTATGATTTGCTGTCCCTGCTGGTTCATCACGGGCTGATTGTTTGCATCTAGCTATGGCGCGAGTATTCTCATCGGCGGGACATCTTCATCCTTGTTAGGTAGATAGACCTTCACATCCATCTCTCTTGCTGCTAGATAGGCTCTGAGGGTAAAGTCCCATTCGCGCCACTTGATGCCATTCTCGCCACTCCTGCCGGTAAAGACGGGGAAGATGGCCATGTCGCCATCTCTGTTGTCTTCTGGTGGTGGTTGTCTTTCTTCAGATACAGCTGGTACTTGACTGCTGCTGATGCTGCAGTACCAGTCAAATGAGAGCAAGCCTGCTGACAGACCTGTTCAGATCTGGCAGTCGGTTGGCGAGGGCTTCGGCTCAGATGAATAGGAACCAAGTCGCTGCGCCCATGTGCAAAAAAAGGCCGGTGAAGAGCTCTTCTATAGTAAGCTGAAGAGAGGATCTGTTAAGCGGTGAGTCCCAGAGTCAGATTGCTTTCACTTCAGTGAGGCTAATGGACTGGCCAGTCAGTAGTCGTTTCTGTCCACATGTAGCATCATGAGGGGTGGTCAACACAGATCTGCGTTCGGTGATGGCTGAAAAGGTTGTCTGCACTGCCAGACGCATAAGTTCCCTCGCGAACGCTTGCCTTCTAGCGCGCCCTTGCGTGAAACACACAGCGACCCTAGCTAACAAGCCTAGCCCACAAGTGGGTCGTCTTACTGTTTTGACAGGCTGTGAGCGTATCATTCCGCAACAATGCCTTCCCTTCCCCCCCGTCCATTCAGCTTGCCCCTCGATTATTCAACTGATCTTTGGGATTGCGTTCGTCGTTGCTTCAGGTGTGAATCTCGCTAGAGTGAACGGCGCGCCGCATTTGAAGCAAGAACCGCTGGAGGTACAGCTTACGGGAACTGCGTCCGGTCGGGTCTCAAAGCGACCCTTCACCTCGTAGCGCCCACCTCGACCGTAATGGAACGGAAGAAAGATTCGGTCCTGGGGTTCATTTCCTTGGCAGGTGAGCTCCGTCAGACGCGCGACTGCTTTCAGACTAGCGTTTGTCAGCCTAAAGCCTAAAACCTTTGAACACTTCCGAGCCCGGGTTTGTCTTGAATGCCTCTTTCGCTTCTTTCCTGGCAGGTTGGATGGATTATGGCGATGATGAGAATCTGGGTGGATGACTACTTTTTGGCGGGTGATGGTGTCCAGCATGGAATTCAACAAATCCAACGGACCTGTGGATTATGGCGATGATGAGAATCTGGGTGGATGACTACTTTTTGGCGGGTGATGGTGTCCAGCATGGAATTCAACAAATCCAACGGACCTGTGGGATTGTACGAAGTACTGGCCAACGGGTGAGTCGTTTTCTCGCGGCGGGAAGGGTGGAGACTGCTCGAATATCTCCTAAGTCCAACAACTACAAGTTCTCAAAGGTTTTTATTGGGAACTTCGTGAGGAACAATACGTGCCCCCGTAGGGAAGAGGGACCAGGAGCGAGTTAGACGATATGTCAGCGAGTTAGACGATACGTTAGGGAATGGAAAGCGCGTCGACCTGCAGGTTTATTCAATGTCAATTTCTTTCCAATATACACATCTCTCTCTGTTCCATCGTATGATTCAGAAATGCGAGAGCATCATGCGGCCAAACGAGAGGACGTCGGCGACTATGGAGCTCAGCAAGAACGACCCAGAATTCAGCGGCTCGATTTACTTCAGAGTGGGGAAAGATGAAAGCGGACCGCTGTCGGACACACGGGTGGGCTACGGGTTAAGGGTGAAGACGAAGTATAATGGCGCCACGCTTTCTGGGCAGTTCCGATAAATCCGTTATGCCCTGGGAACCGAGGACAAGGTCAGGGGTTTTACGAGCATGAAATTTTCAACCAAGGCCGCGAAGATCAGGGGATCTTGAAGTTGAATTCGGAGGAGGAAGAGTTGAAAGTCCACATCGCCAGTCATTCCTCAAAGAAAGGCGAATATGAATTTTGGCAGCAGCTTTTGATTCTTGTTCTAAGCCTCGGCTCCGCCCTTTTTTCACTTCATGCTTTGAGATCGCGCATGAAGTGTGCAAGACGCGAGGGAAACAGGCGGAGGCAGAGGCACAGGCGGCACAGGCAGGGGCATGTGCGGCGAGACAAGCGGCAGAGGGAGCGAGAGATGCGGCAGGGAGAGCGGAACGGACGGCACAGGCAGCGGCACAGGCGCCGCCGCACAGGCGGTGGCGCAGGCGGTACAGGCGGTGGCAAAAGCGGTACAGACGGCAGAGGCGGCGGCACAGGCGGCGGCACAGGCACAGGCGGGACAGGCGGCTTAGGCGCGACAGGTCGCGGCACGGGCAGTGGGACGGGCACAGGCGGCGGCACAGGAAGCGCATGTGGCGGCACAGGCGGGACAGGCGGCGGCAGAGGCGGGAGAGGTTGGCACAGCCGCCGGGGGTACAGGCGGTATGGGTGGCACAGGCGGCAGAACAGACGGCACAGGCACCTGCGGCACAGGCGGCGATACGGGCGGCACAGCAGGCAATACGGAAGGCACAGGCGGCGGCACAGACAGAATGCATAGGTGGCGGCATAGGCGGCGGCACAAGCACAGGCGGCACACTGACTTACTCGATAGTAGAGTCGTAGAGCCGATACCTGAAGTTAGAGATGTATATATTCAGCTTCTGAAGACAGCTGCGAAGCTCCTTTTTTCTCTTGTGAATCTTGTAGTGTATGGTTGCTTCTCAGTCTGCTCCATTGCTATGTGTCTGAGGAGGAAGGGTACGGATTGCCTTGTTTATCGGCTGCTGCACCTTGACTAATTTTTTTGTCCAGTTCCGTCTTCTCTCAAGTGACTGATGCTTGGCTATGTAGTTCATCTGTATCCACATGTCTGTTTTCCCCATGCTCACTGTTCGGATGTCATTATGGAATTACTTGCGATGTAATCTTCAAGGCTTCCTCCACCGATTTTTAACTTCAAGACCATCTGATCCTTGTCGCCTCGGTTGAAACTCCTTGGATAGCTTCAACCTTAGGCCAACTTTCCTGGTGACAGTGGTAGACTGAAGTGGTAGACTGAAGTGGTGATAGCGCTACTTATCACTTTTAGTATCCCATCAAGCTCTTCGAGACAACTACTGTCTTTCAGCAGTGTTGCATAAGCAGTGTACTACAAATATTGTGTCGGATTCTTGAGATAATTCTCACGCTCGAGGCAACACAGCATTATTTATGCACAGGATCATTCTTGGAAAACAGAAACTTCACGTACAAAGTTGAATTGTCGCAATGCTGAACTTGCTTGACATTAGGGATTTATCTAATCTAAACTGCAGGAAAAGTTGTAGCGAAACACCGCCTGTTCGTCAGCTGCACTAAGAGCTTAACCACGTCTCTTCTCAAAGATTGGAGCCTTTGGATAAGATTGACTGCAGGGATTCAAAGCCTCCCTGCTCCATCCACCTCTTTTTCACTTCGAAGCTTCACTTTCGCTTGTTCCCTGTTTTCCATTAGTCACGAATCAAGACGGAACTCAACCGAAAAATTCGATATGCAGCAACCGATAACCCCTTCCTAAGCCCCCTTAGCCCTCTAAGCCCCCTAAGCCCTAAAGCCCCTGAGCCCCTAACCCCCTAACCCCTAAAACCCTAAACCCTAAACCCCCCTAAAACCCAGACCCTAGACCCCTAACCCCCTAACCCCCAACCCCCTAAACCCTAAACCCCCCCCAGCCCCCCTTAGACCCCT